AAAAGTGGTGGCACTCCTCCTATCATTTCAATCAAAAGTCTTGCTTTTTATGCCACAGATTTCTAGTTTAATTAAAATTCAATTTTGGTGTTTATTTGGTTTCTTTTTGTTGTTTTATTAATTAAAACTCGAGACATAAATGAATTTAAATTGTTGTTTATTTTGTTTTATTTATTTCTTTTTTATACGTGGTTTGATAGCCGGGAGAGAAGCGTATCTTTGATTACGAGAGCACAACACAACTCTGGGGACCCCTTAAAGAAAATTTCTTAGTCAGAGCCGATGTTATTGTCCATTGTTTGGGAAGCGATGAAAATGGCAAATATGGGACAAATGGGTTGAAATATATGGTCCAAATTGAAAAGCTTAAGCCATCAGTGGTTAAAGAGAAGTTAGTCTCAAATCTATTATTCAAAACTTTATAAAACTAATGAAACTAATGAAGAATTGTGAATAATATGTTATGAATATAATTATTATTGGCATAAATATATAACTCATTATTGAAATTGCAATTCAGACAGAATGAGATCACTAAACGGAGCCGAAGTAAGAGAGGGGTCAGCAGTTGGTTCAAACAGGCGTGGGTTGACGTCAAAGACTTCTTCGTTAATCTATTCTCGAAGCGAAACAAAAAGACTGACAAAGACTTCGACTTTGAGTTCGAGAAAGAGCCGTCAAATTTGCAATACCAGTGCAAAGGCGCCAAAGATGCGAATCGGCTCAAGAGATCGACACCTAATTATGACAATATTGTTTACGACAAAATGTTTTCCACGCCTTTTGTATTTATACAGCTATCGAACGGTTCGATACCAGAGATCAGATTCAGCGATAAAGACACGGATCTGTCGGTTAAGAATTTTAAGCGACACATCGCCGACACATTTGCCACACAATTGGATTCATCCAAACAGCGAGTCTTAGAGCAGAGCCCTATTGGCGAACATTTTACCAGTTATTCATACGATGACAGCGGAAAAGTGGAGGAATCTCTTCAGCCGACAGCCGACGGGATGAGTCTTAAGCTGAGCTCAAGTTTCCTATCGCTGTCTCAGATTAAAGACATAAAACAATTGGCGGTAATGAGAGACGTAGAGCCCGAAGATGTGATGGCTATCGGCGATGGACTGGCAATGGATTACGACTCCTCTCAGATCGGAGTCAATGCAAAACAGATACAGAAAATATCTGAAGGACGTCTCACAACCACCGGTTCGTGCGCTTAAAGCTTTTACAACAGTTCACTTCATAATGTGTTTAAATGGCATTGAAATCTTCATAACAAATACTAGACTAGAATTCAATTAAAACAAACTTTATTTCCTTTGAAATATTTCATTAGTGACTCATTTATTTGCAAATACTAAACAATGATTATCTCTTTCCTGTTGTCAATTAGCCGGACATTTGTCGCTATCATTAGTGAATCCATCGAAGAATACAAGAACTAAACGAGATGTTAATCAAAATGAAGAAGAAATTGAAAATTACCTGAAAATTCGCACAAAATATTCACTGACAGTAACTTTAAACTAATTATATTAATTTTAATAAATTTAATAAATATCACATTATATGAATAGATGACCAAAAGAATAACAAAGAGATCGACGGATGAAAAGGAAAAGTTGGAAACTTTGATGGAAATGGAGTCTAAACTAAATTTAAAAGGAGAGACAATTGTTTCAGAATCGACAGCAGGTATTGTTTGTTAAGATATGAGATTAAATGGACATTTGGTTGCATTGATTTTCATTATGCATAGAAACCTCTTTGAGAGAAAAATTAATTATGTATCGAAAGAATATAAACGAAATGCTTTCAAACAACAAAAATATGGGCGGATTTGTTAAATATTTAGTTGATAATCAAAATCCAAGTAAGAAATGTTTGAAATGAAAATAAATTGAAGTGTATTTTTAAAATAATTGTTTTTTAGTGTATGTTTTGCTAATGAAAGCCCTGAATCTGGAAGTGATGCTCAACGAAGACAAATCCAGTTCTTCAACTAAATATCTCATCAATG